TTGATATAGAATCATTAATTACGTATACAAACCTTATAAAAAACGTATCATTTCTTTATTTCGATTTCTTATAGGGATACCATAGTTGCCTCACCACTTTACAGAAACCATGAAATTTTTCAAGGTATCAGAATGATTCCATAATATTAACTTAATAATATTATAACAGACACTTTGCAACTTTTTAACTATTAAGATATCATATATGCATCTTTAAATGATCTGTACAGCATGTAAATTTAGATCGCAAATTCATTTTCAATATAAATGCAAAATATTATAATGATTTTCGTAAAATAAACCAAACGGAGTGAGCAATACAATTTTAAGTTATCATAGTTATTCCTTTATAACAATTTGTAAAAAAAAAATATTGAATTTAATAACTTTATAACAATTTCATAAATGTATCTTCGTAATACCAGAATAATAACACTTAAATCTCAATCCAAATTGTATTTTCGATTTTAAGTTTGATACATTTACATTATTATAATCATACAATAATTATGCAAAATAATGTAAATTTTAGTAATTTTAATCATATGAAACTATAATACAATATTTTAACAAATCATTTATAATTCTAAATTGCTAGCTATATTTTGACCTGATAATGATAATACTTGCATATTTTTTGTAAGTCTGTTAAATTCTTTTATTACATTTATATTGTGTCTATTATAACTAACATGAAATGATTCACGAAATAATCAGATTATAGTTAACATATTTTTACTTTTTTTGAAGTATTTTCTATTAGAAGTAGCAATATATTGGAAAAGAATTTTTTCCACTACATTTTTGTCAATAAACGCATCTATCTCAATATCTAAAAGTATGTTCATGCTTTAAGAAATAATAATTTATTAATATATTGATAATTGAAAAAAAAATTGTAAGTTATTTTAAAAAGAAATTTACCTTTCTTGCTTCTCCTTATACATAGAAACCAACAATATTATATCATTATTACATGTGTTTCAGAAATCACCAAACACTTTTTTTGTATGTCACACAATATTAACAGTATCATCAGAACTTTTTTTATAATGGAAAATTTCTGTAATGAGATCATGAAATGCCAATTGAATTGGAGAACAAGTATGAAGAAATAAGCATTTACATTCTTCAAACTAAATACAAGCCTATTCCTATAGAATTTATTTATATAACAAATAGTATCTTTAGATTATTTCCAAGTAAATTTTTCGATCCTTGTTTGAAAGATGTTCATCATACTGTGAAAGGATTTGAATAATAAAAAGAATATAAAATAAAAATAAATATATATATATACCTTTCCGTTATTTGATGATGTTAATGAAATTTGTGAATTCAAGAGTGCAGTGAGCGGCTCATTGATATTATATATCATTCTTTTCTGTAATTGATGTAACTTAATAGCCATTTGTAATAGTTGAAGATTATTTGCCATAAACACAACCAATTCATAATGATTATTAAAATGAGATAAAATCGATGACTCTGGTGCTGAAACTAAAAATACATATCAACACGAGTATAATGCGTTCATCTAAAAAGTGTATAATATATCTGTATTTGCTTATAAATTACGCGTTCGTTGATTTTGGGATATTATTGATAATAATGTATTATTCTGACTGACTTTTTTCCTATTGTCAGTATCATAACTTAATGCTTTTTGGTCATAATACTATCATCATAGCTTTCATTATCTTCAATGTCAAAAGAAATTTTTTCTACAAAGACTAGCGTATATAAACAAAGATGCTAAATTTAATATTATTATATTAGAGATTATTATCTAATGTGTCTTTTTCAGCTTGCAAAAGATCTATTATATCATTAGAATTGGATGTTTCAGGGATATTATCAGTATTGTTATCATCATATCGTAAAGGTATTAATGTTCTAGAAAAAAAAGCTTTAGAAGATGACGCCTTGGAAGAAGAAGTTTTGGAAGTAGAAGTATTCAAAATAGAGGCTTTAGAAGTAGGAGTCAGTTTATAAGGTTTTGTACATTCATCATTTTGAATAGATATATTACGGGTCTTTTTAGGTAAAGGTTGCAATGGTGTTAAGCTTCTAGAATGACGTTTTGGTGGTAGCATGCTTAATTGTTTAAAGAGACAACAATTGGGAAAGAAAATTATTTTGATAGTTAAAAATCGAAATCAATTCATTATTAAAGTTTATACGAGTTTAATTAACCATAGTTTTATTGTTGCTAAATTTGGATATATTGTATAAATTACGTAATATAATTTCTACTATATATATGATTTACCAAATTTGATGTATATTCATATTTAATGAATTTCTTTTCCATTTAATGATGATTCACAATAGAAATAATACCTTGTAAGGAAAACCATTCTATGTTCAACAAAGACTCGTATCTTCGTCTCAACATGCTTCTTCAGTTATAAATAATCTGTTTTCAAAGAAAAAAGTATAAAAGTAATGTTATTCGTTTAACTTTCATAACAATTTTAATCATTTCGCAGTTTCAACCCGATATCATTAAAAAAAGCTAACATTACAATTTATACGTACAAAGAAATTAGAAATTATTCGATATAAGGTCTAATAGATAATAATACAATCAAATAGGATCATAATTACACCATAATAGGATCTGATGAAGGAGTGGATAATATTACTGAAATGATGGATGAAGAAGATAATGAATATCATGAAATGAAAAAATCCTATGAAGAAAGTGATGATTATAATGAAACGAATGATTATAACTATGACAGAATAAATAAGAACAATTATGATGGAGTGAATGACAATGACTACAACTCAGACCACTTAATCACGGCAAATTTTTTGTACCAATTTTAAAATTTTATACAAAGCTTATTTAGTTTATAATTAAAAAATTCTTTCCATTTACTTAAAGTACATAACCTAAGCTATAAAAAAATGTATTCATTTTTTCTGATTTATGTATGCAATTAAAAATTATTAAACGTTAAATTTACTATATTTTAATATAAAAATGAAAATTTGGCCACAAAGATTGTTGCCTTTTTAGATTAATTGATGTAATTTTTTTTATAAAAAAGCCATTGATTATATCGATCGTATTATTCGTGCTCACTTATAATGCTATGCTTATCGAAACAATGGGTTCACTTAAAAAAAAATTAATCTAACTTCCCACGAATTTAAAATATCAGAGGCAGAAAGTGCCGATGAATCAAGTGATAAAGGTTCAGTACTTTGATGTACAGAAGAATTGGAAAATAATGTGAAGGAAACTTTACAACTTTTAATGAATGGTGCAAAAAGCATCATCTTATTCAAACGTCCTTTATGCTATTTAGGAAATTCTTTCTGAACCTAAAGAAGACGCAAAGCCAAAGAAAAAAGTTGCTGCTGAACATAAAAAAAAGATTACCAATTTTTTTAGTTTTACATCAACTGAAGAAGCTGACTCAATTTTTGAAAATAAAAACTCACCTACAATAAGTGAATCTAGCCAAGCCTCTGAAGATGAATTTAATCCATAAACTGACGATTAGGAGTCTGACGATAATGAGGATTTTAACAAGGAATATTTGTTATCTGATAATAAATTAATTAAAGAAATTAAAAATAAAATTAGTGACAATAAACTTCCAGCTGGTTTAAAATGGAAGTTAACTGCAATTTTACAATATCTTCAGTTAACTAAATTTAATAAATCAAAAATACAAGCAAGTTTATCTGTAGCATGCCAATTGGGTCGTGATACTTATCTTGCACGGTCTATTCGTGAATGGACTAATATTTTAAAGCTGGTGGTAATCTTCCAGAATCATTTTGAGGAAGACATCCTAAAATTAAAAGTATTTTGGAAGATGAGAATATTCAAGCTGAAATTGTTTTATTTTTACATGAAAATAAGTTTGAATTTTATATTGCTGACTTTGTAAATTATGTTTCAGATGTTATTTTACCAAAACTTGGAATTGAGCATGCAAAAAAAATTGGTAATTATTATTTTTTTTAAGATTATTTATTATGTAATAATACTAATCATTTATTATTTTTCTTTTTATATAGAAATTCAACTGCAAAGCGATGGCTTAACAAAATGGGATTTGTATTTAAGCAATATCATAAAGGAATATATTATGATAGTTATGAAAGATCAGATGTAGTGGAATATCAACAACAATTTCTCACACAAATAGCTGAGTAAGTAAAAATGTTTTTATAATTATAATAATTCAATTTATAAATATATTAATAAATTATTTATCTATTTAT